AGAGACAGCAAAAGTTTGAATAAACTACATAATAATAATAATAATAATAATAATAATAATAATAATAATAATAATGTCTCTTTTGATTGTTCTTGAACCGCGTAAACAGACTAGTGCTGATCTTAAATAATAATAATAATAATAATGATAATAATTAAAATACTTTTAAGATGATGATGATGATGATGATGATGATGATGATGATGATGATTATTATTATTATTTGTGGTTGAATGACATAGAATTGCAATAGTCGCAATAAACTTGGATGGACTAACTACAATGCATGGTGGTGCAGCGATGGCAAGGCTTGTACACGAGCTGACCACTGCAGCAATGGACGTTGTATAGGTACACCATTCACGTGTTTATATTGTGAAAAGTGTCAGTCCGACACGTGCAAAATCAGACCTGGTTACTGTGCCATCTGGTACAAATACAAGAAAACGTGCTTCCATAACAAAGCTCTCAGACCAGGTTACCCTTGCCAGGTGACGACCAAATTCTTCGAACTTCATTATGATATAATCCTGTAATGTATTGATGTATTCCCATGCATTTTTGTGCAGCAATGTGACAGCAATAATCCCTACAAATGGACGATCAATAACAACCTGAGATGCAGTGATAACAATGTTCAGACAAAAGACGATCGTTGCGCGAGAGGTATATGTCGTGGAACACCTTACCCTTGCCTCTCATGCGAGCGTCATGACGGCAGTGGTTGTCCTTTGAAAAGCGGTTTCTGCAAGATCCAGCACAACAGTACTAGTCAGCCAACTTGTTTTGCAAACCAGAATCTCAAACGCGGAAATCCTTGTCAGGTTAGTGTAGGGCTTTTTAAAACTCTTAATACAATTGCTAGGCTTTAACTATAGCTTTGTGATTGGATCGCGGCTATATTGGTTTACAAAGCATTTGTTTCTTCATATGAGATGACTGAAGTGTCGTCAAATGAAAACAAGGAATTCTAGCAGGAACTGATTCTTTATTAAGCAGTCTAGTAGTAGAACGCATCCATTTTTTTTTCAAGTTTAAAACACGTTTTGAATACAGCTTGAAGGTTGAAAGTCTAAATTAAGTTATACCAATATCGAAGTATCTAGATCAAGCTTTACTATTAATTAGCCATGATRTTATATTGTCAGTGGTGCAACACGAGGTTAAGTACAAGTGCTTGGTCCAGCCGTAATAATGTAACGTGTGACGACAGGGATAATTGCACCAGGTCCGACACCTGCACAAATGGACAATGCACAGGAACGGCATTCACATGCAACTCACACTGTCAGACATGCAACGGTCGGAATTGCAGTCAAAGGACTGGCTTTGGTTTTGCCCAGGGAAAGTGTACTTGTAAAATTGCTGGTAAGCTTAATCTCCTTTTATGGGGCCCTTTTGACGTCTTTGGAGCCGCGTTCCGTTATGGTGTTTTCCCAAATTAAAATCTTCTAATTCATAACTTTGCAGGAAGAGATTACAACYATCAGCAATTAAACCCCGCCAATCAATGTCAGTGGTGCAACCTTTATGACGCTGCATCAAAGCCCTCAGGAACCTGGACAAACCGTCCCAGTGTCCCATGCGATGATGGAAATCCATGTACTCATAAAGACATCTGTGACAATGGAAAGTGTGTTGGTCAACAATACAGCTGTCAATCATCATACCCCAGCGCAAGCTGCATTAAGACTTCACAATGTCTGGGTAACGGACAGTGTAATGATACCATGCGTCCAGTGGGTACAATATGCCGAGCAGCCAAGGACGCATGTGACAAACCCGAAAAGTAAGATTAGAAATAATGACAAAAAATAGTAAAATTACATAAATTAAATTAAATTGCTGATGTACGATGATAACTGTACCAAAACTATCAAATACTTTATTGGATGTATTTTCAGATGTAATGGCAAACTTGGGGCATGCYCTGCAGATGCAATCGACTTCATAAGCATAAAAACCGGCAGAGTACAATTCAKGAATCCCACTTTTACTTCCAACGCCGCCTACCAGCATATAACAACCTCCCTTTATCTGAGTATAACCGGGTTCTCCATCTCCTGCGGAGCCATGAAATACAAGTGGTTTTTGCTGAATGGTTCCTCACAGTGTACGACAACTTCAATTGCCAATGGAGTCTTTGCAGATACAGATACTAAACAAACAATTACAGGTCTAAAACTCCTTGATACCAAGAGCTATAAGGTAGCAATACAAGCCGTAGATATGAGAGCCGCAGTTCGTCCACTTGTTTGCTCAAGTCCTATCACCATAGATACAACAAAACCAAAAGTTGGATGGGTTTATGATGGTACTGCTGCCGACATTGACTACCAAGCAAGTAAGAACATTAAAGCTAATTGGGGTGGCTTCAACACCAGAAATGGTATTGCAAAGTACGAGTGGAAGGTGACTTATACAGCTTTTGGCGGTGGTCTTACTTCTGATCTTCTTCCGTTTACTGGAAATGGTGTCAATACCAAAGCGTCAAAGACATTTGCCAACATAGTGGATGGGTCTCTGGTGAAAGTAGTGGTTCGCGCCTATACCAAAGCAGGTCTTTATACAGATAGCACTAGTGATGGAGTGATTGTAGATTTTTCAAAGCCAACTCCATCAAATGTTTATGACGGCTCCACAACTGGTGTAGATGCCAAGTACGCAAAGTGGACCAATACGTTTACCGCAAACTGGGATGCCTTTAAAGATGTCCATAGTGACATTTTAAGCTACGAATGGGCTGTGAAACGTGGAGCGGGGCTTATTACCACATTCAAATCAACAGGCTCATCACGTTCTGGTTCAGCTTCGGGTCTCAACTTGGTCTCAGGCGAGAGATACTGTGCTGTAGTCAAAGGATATAACAAAGCCCTTCTTAGTGCGRAAGCGACTTCCGACTGTGTTCTAATTGATCATGATCGCCCAAAAGCTGGAAGAGTCAATGATGGYCTATCGAGTGATATTCATTACCAGTCAAATGTCTCTTCTATTTCAGCCAATTGGAATGGATTTAATGATGGCGCCAAAGGAAGTGGAATAGTGGGTTATCAGTACAAAATTACTAACAGTACGACTGACGTTGTTGGATGGACATCTGTAGGCTTGAAGACATCAATAACTCATACAGGACTCTCCTTAAAAAATGAAATGAAATACTTTGTTACTGTCCGAGCAATTGATGCTGTTGGATTTTCAACCGATTTAAGGAGCAGTGGAGTTATTGTCGATACATCGCACCCTGTTTTCAATGGAAAGGTTGAAGTCCGTGGTATCAAGGACGTCTACAAAGGCAAACCTTATGTTTACGCAGCAAGCAGAACAACACTTGATGTTACATGGACTGGATTTTCAGATGGTCACAGTGGTTTGCACCGTTACAATTGGGCAGTTATTCCAGCAACACAAAGTGTCAAACCCTCTGACTTCAAACCCGTATCGGGTTCTAGTTTGACAACTTYAGCATCCTTTTCAGGACTTAGTTTGACGGACGGCCAATCGTACAGAGTTATCATAAGAGCGTATAACCGTGCCTTTCTATACACTGATGCTTCTTCTAATGTGATCATTCCTGATTCTACACCTCCTCAACCAGGATCAGTTAGTGATGGTTCTACAAACGGAACTGATATTGATTACCAAGTAAGCCTTAGTTTTGTAAAGGCAACATGGACAGGATTTAATGAACCTGACACTGGTATAAGACAGTACTATTATGCAGTGGGAAGCTGTACCAAGGGAAACTACCACATCACTAATAACAAGTTTGTTCCAGCATCACCAGCTCTATCCTCTTCGATGTCTATTGAAAACCTTAATCTTATAAACGGTCAAAGATACTGCACCAAAGTCAAGGCAACCAATAAGGCTGGCATCTATAGTCAAGAGATAACTTCAGATGGCTTTATGGTGGWCAAAACACCTCCAGATACTCGAGAGGCTCGCGTGATTGACGGGGTTACACAAATAGATATTGATTATCAAGCGAACCTAACCGAAATGTCTGGCAGCTGGGAAGGTATGAAAGACCCTCAGTCTGGTATTGAACACTATGAATACGGTATAAGCAGAAATAAAGCCGGCGTTCCTGACATTTCACCTTTTATAAATGTTGGACTTCAAAGTTCTGCTCGAGCTACTGGTCTTTCCCTTGCTGAAGAGGTGTATTACTTCATTGTCTGCGCCATCAACAACGCCGGCTTAAAGTCTTGTTTAAGTTCTGATGGCGTCTTCGTTGATAAGACTAAACCAAGTAAGGGAATCGTCAACGATGGAGTTCTCGAGCCTGATCTGAAATACCAATCCTCGTTAACMAGCATTGCAGCCAAYTGGGAAGGCATATGGGAYTTACAGAGTCAAATAGAAAGGTTTGAATGGGCTGTCAAAGATAACACAAAAGACGAAAACGTTGTTCAACCTTATATAGATGCTGGACTAGCTACGCATGTGAAAAGTGAGAAGCCACTGAACCTGGTCAACGGCAGAACATATATCGTGCATCTAAAAGTTTATAACCACGCTGGCGCGGTCAGCGAAATTAAATCGGATGGTGTCACTGCAGACTCTACAGCACCACATCCAACTCAAGTCAGACCTGGAATTGTAGGAAATAGTGACTGGATTTATAATGACAAAGACAAAACATTTTATACATCATCATCATCGTCACAGATTTTTGCTMACTGGAAAGAATTTAAAGAGAATGAAAGCGAGTTATGGTATTACAAATGGGCTATTGGGACATCAAAGTGTGGCACACAGGTTCAATCTTTAACCAACATCGGTCGATCAACCCATGCAAACACCACAATGTCTGACTTGACTTTCAMTGATGGCATAAGATATTACGTGACCGTTACATCACGCAACAGGGCTAATCTGGTCTCTCGAAGCTGTTCTGAGGCTTTTATGATGGACAAAACTCCACCGAATACTGGTTCTGTAAATGTCGGTGATCCTGACCTTCATCAGAAGTATATCGGATCAGATTATGTAAAAATTTATTGGAAAAATTTTGAAGACARAGAAAGTGGAATTCACTTTTGCAACATCTCTATCAAAAGTCCATCAGGTCAAATTTTCATCAMCCAAATAACAGGCAAAGATGCTGGCAGCGTCCCYATTCGAAACACCCTTTTCAGACCTGGTCAAGAGTACAGAGCCATCGTCAAATGTGTTAACAAGGCCAACTTAACTAACACTCATACGTCAAAGCCCTTCATAGTTGACATGACAGCGCCTATAACGCAGAATGAGATAATTGCTGGTGTATCACGTGACCTTTTCAAACAGTATCAAGCCGACTATAGATCGATTTCGATCACATGGCCTCCGTTTAGTGATCCTGAGAGTCCCATTAAGAAATATTTGTTGTCTRTTGGTACTACTCCTTTAGRTGATGACATTGTGACTCTCTATAATGTTGGAATGGAAACACAAATCGTACGATCTGATTTAAATCTTCATTATGGTTYGATGTACTATATAACTGTMTACGGTGTGAATGCTGCTGGTTTAAACACCACAGCCCAAGGGCTCCCTTTACTCATTGATAACACCCCACCAATAGTACCAGAAGGTAGTGTGATGGATGGTGCTGGTAAGGTCGATTGGGAATTCATCAACCCAAAAGATCTAGTTAAGGCGCACTGGGAAAKMGYATCAGATCCTGAGAGTGGCATACYAAAGAGTAGGTACTGTCTAGGTACTACACCTTTCGGATGCCAAATTAAAGGCGTTACTGAAACCAACGAGACATCGTTCACTTGCAAGAGCTGCAAGATCAAACCAGGGGAGAGGGTGTATGTTACAGTAGACATTACTAANCAAAGTGGTATCGATAAATGCAAATGGACAATTGTTGACGGTGATGACCAGGAAGTCTTCTCGTTGGACATTTCGGGACCATATAAGCTAGGAACAAAGCAAATAATATCAGCCAATCAGACATACCGCTTTGTTCCATTTAATTCAAGTAAACTTTACTATAACGTAATCGAATGTACCAATCGTGCTAGGCTATCAGCAAAAGTGCGATCCAATGGATTCCGTGTTGTATCRCAGTGGCCAATTCCTAGMGATGTCAGGGATGGACTGACTATCGGCAAAGATCTCGACTACTTGRCGAGYACAAAAGATGTTRGTGTRCATTGGGACGTATTTRAGGCAGATTCTCGCGAYTCCGTCAGCAATTATGCCTGGGCAATAGGAACGTCACCTGGTAACCAAGATATCATGAAGTTCAAAAGCGCAGGACTTACATTACAGGACAAAGTGACCTTAGCTTCAGATGAGCCTGACTTAGATGTACTTAAGCCTGGACAGAAATACTACATCACTGTTAAGGGAACATCAGTAAGCGGATTATCAAGCTCAAAGWCRTCTGACGGGTTCTTTGTTGATACCACTCCACCAGTTACATCTGACGTTAAGGTAACCTTTGYTGTATCGGATCACTCARATCGWAAAGTTGATCTTCAAATCGATTGGTCTGGAGTTAAAGATGATGAAAGTGGCATCATGGAATCTRAGTTTTGTRTTGGRACAACACCARGGAGTTGTAAAACGAGCAAGAYTTCTTCTGGTATCTCTRAAAMGGMGGTTCTACCYTCTTTCAAGCCTGTTTCATTGGCTGGGTACTACGTAACGGTTGTTGTAACAAATAATGCAGGACTTACAGCAACAATGACATCAGATAAAATATCCATCGACACCACACCACCAACACATGGACAAGTCATTGATGGAATCGGCCGAGATATCGACTACATGAATACAACAAATAGTATATCAATACAGTGGGCTGGTTTCATCGATAGAGACACTACTGTAAAAAACTGCACTTGGACACTTGTAGAGCAATCGCTTTCTGAAGATGGGTCGTACTATGGTAATGATACAATTGTTTTTGAACAAGATGTCAGTCCTAAAGGCAGGGAAACACGTGATGGATTAGATCTTAAGCCTGGTTCTAAGTACGTCAATAAGATAACGTGTTCTAATCGTGATGGTTTCACAGTAACTTCAGCATCAAATGGAGTCGTTGTTGACCTCACCCCTCCAGAAACAAGCACTGTTATTGATGGCCTAGACTTTAACAAGGATGTCAACTTCACAAGCGACACCACCACCGTCAGCACTGTGTGGAGTGCATTTTCGGACACTGAAAGTAGCATTATGGGATATCGATGGAGCTTGGGAACTTCGCCTGGGGAAGACGACGTAGTTAAATTCCAAGATGTTGGTTTGAAGAGACAAGGAAAGATGGAAAACATTACCCTTGTTCCTGGCGAGCCTTATTACGTCACTGTAGAAGGAACCAATCACGCAGGGTTAACCTCTCAGGGATGGTCAGATGGATTCATCGTCGACGTATCTCCACCCGACGTAAAGGTGAGATGAATGTTAATGCTTACCATATATTAACTCCTGATGATCGCGAAAACAAACGTCAATAAATGCAGGTTACACAGAATGTTGACAAAATCAAATAAGTTTTTTTTACTTGCTTTTGTATTCATAATATATTTACAAAGAAATTCCTACATACTCGGGGCATAAAATAAGCACATTCAAACGCTTTGAAGTCCGTGTTGATACGACTGGGGGCGTTTGCACGAAGGGTAAGTAATGCTATCCACCGGTTAAGGTCATCCCCTTCGTAGATTGTTTTATGGGATTTTATCCTCTAAATAAGGATTTACCCCTCGGATAGCGCTATTCACCCTTCGAACAACCGCCCCCAGATGAATAAAAAAACATCACTGGTGCATATTTAAATATAAAGAAAACGGATGAATAAAACATCAGTGTTATATGATGATATATTCAAAGTACTTCAGATTACACGATGGACAACACCGCCAACAGTTCACTGTTATATCTCTTTTTCTTTAGTTGCACATCCAAAATAAATGGATTGGTCCATCAGATTCCATCAGTGTTAGCTGGCAATATTACGACCTTGAAAGTGAGATCAAGTCGATAGAATACTGCATTGGTAAAAATACTAGAAGTTGTCAAATCAAGCCGATAACCAAGCTTCCTGCCACCAGTACAAATGTGTCCTGCACTGACTGTGTACTTCGCCACAATGAAAAATACTTCGCTATTTTAAGAGTAGTGAACTACGCCGATCTTTATACTGTAAAAACAACAGAAGCCATTCAGACCGATTTTACCCCGCCAACTACTGGAGAAATTGTTCCCGTGGTTACAGTAACCTCGTGCGTCAACCAATGCGAGCTGAAGTACAATATAAGTGGKTTTAATGACCYTGAGAGTGGAATMAARACTTGCAGAGTAGGAGTCCATAACAGTTCGGGCGTGATGACCAACTTAACATTGCTTAATTCCTCGGATGTAGTTGAATTCAGCAACCTGACTCTACAGCATGGCCAGCGTTACTCTGCTGAAGTAAGATGCSTGAACAATGCTGGGTTGGAGAAAAGGGTGACGTCAGACGTTGACGTGTTGGTTGACRWCACACCCCCTTTAAAGGTACTGTTACTAGCTAATTTAACATATTTGAACTGAAAATTTACATTTAAATTTACATTTTTTGGCCATCAGAAGAGGAAATATATAGATTTCTAAAACTGCTTTTATTCCTCCTCCCCTATCGCTTTTCCAATGGTCGACCCCCCAGAATTCATAACAGTCATTCGAAGAACTTTGAATTCCATTTTCTCTATTTTTCTCCCTCTATCAGGGAAGAGTTTTTGTCAGTCCGGACCGCACACACGATGTCTTTGGAATTCACTCAAACTGTCATCTCTACAACACGACCCTCAGAATTCATTGGTCAGGATTTTACGACCCAGAAACAGGAATAACCGGTTTTAAAGTGTCTTTGGAGAAACAGAACCATTCTTCCAGAGTCATACAACCAAGAGATGTTGGCATAACAACAAGTGCTACAATTGACGTAGATGTCGATCAGGGCGTATATGCTAATGATATTATATACGCTATAGTTGAAGCTAAAAATGCGGCGGGACTGGTGACTAGGTCACAGTCCCCGCCAACGCGCCTAGTCTCAACCGAAATGGATCGAGAAGGAGACTTCTTGTGTGTTGATATGTGACGTGGGTTAAAACAACACAAAACATTCTTTATTATACTGTAAATATAGCCTTCTTCGCGGCGAATTTTACTATTCAGGATTCCTGTGTTAAGCAAAAAAAGGGTTAGGGTCGGCTTCTCGGTCAGGCTTAGCACCACCATGAAGACCGAGACAAAGAATTCAATTTGTGCTAGAGTAGCCTGAAGGAGGCTATTGACTGCATAGCGAATTTAATACTTTAAACTAAACTACAGACCCGTAGGTTGGGGAACGGGAGGAATTCCAGGGGCCATCATTCTGGATGTAGCTCACCCACGGGCTTTCATTATTAAACAATATTAGACAAACATTAATCAAAGGAAGGRATCATGCATTGTTCTCCGCAAATTCTTTGTAACTCAGCATAGCTTTTGTTTGGACTTGGACAAAATGGGCTTCTCTTACTTCGCGCGCATCTTTGCAACAACTAAAATCTGTACTTAAAGTAAATTATTGAATAAAATAAATCCATAGGGTTTTAAAGCTGTCCCATATAAGGGTTTCAAAGCTGTCCCATATAAGGTTTTCTGTAGTATTTCCACTATATTAAATAGCAACAAGTGTATTGAGTGAGGTTTCATGAAGCCATCGAAGTATGTTCAATACTAAAGTGTTTGAACTTCGATTTGATCAATATATGGACCTGAAGCTTCCTCAATTTTTCAATATTTTATAGTTTTGATACAAACCTTCATGTAAAGTGCGATTCAGTGTGATGAACGGGTATTCTAAACGACTATCTGGCCATTATGCTGGAGCGACAACACTTAAACTCGTCCGCCATGATCGTCATGTTTGAACAATGACTTGAAGTACAAAGGAAGCCCAAAGTAAGCTATGCATGATCCCATTTCATTTTTCGAGCCATGAAATCGTCCATTTTCGTTAGATTTAATGGAATTGTTTAATCGCTACATTTTCTTACAGTGATGTTTGACCGTAGATATTAATTTACAGCATAAATATTAAGTAATGGTCCGAGTAAGAAGCAGGCAAGCAAACGGCAATGGAATGCATGAAGGTGCTAATTGTGTATTGTATAATCCATCCATCTCATTGGTTAAAACATTAGAATTTGACATAATTTCAAAAGTAATCGCATTTTTTAACATTTTATTTAATATCTGATTCTAACTTTATAAAAGCTTTCCTTAGCTTTAATATTAATAGCAATTCTATGTGGGGAACATAGCAAATTAGAAGCATCTTTTGGCTATTGTTTTGAGTGCTTATGATTGGACAAGATCTTTTAATACAAAAGAAACTTTGTTTCAAAACAGAGTTTATCCACATTTTATTTTAAAAATGTGTTACGCACAGGTTGATATATAATCAGTGTGAAAACCAAGACATTCGTATGTGGGGAAGTTGCAATTGCCGCAGAACAATAGAAGTTTGCCTGCTTTTTGCGCGCATTGTTACTTAACCAAAACCTTTTTTTCTAGTATCCAAAATTTATAGATTTATTCTATTAACAAGAAAACACATCTTGCAAGGTGAGACGTAAGTGGTGTTAGTAGCGATTGCAAGGGCCACACAACTTGTAAGAACTTTGAATTGCAATACACAGTTCGGTAGCTGTTACCTTTCGTCACGGTATAAGTTATTTACAACTTCAACTTTCTCCACCACTTCCGTCTCCGTCCTTGCTATATTCACTAGACCTCACTATATTCACTAAAAAAAATGTCAAAATAAACTTGAATCTTAAATTGGTTTGACTGTTTATTTCTTTTCACTTAATCATAACAATGTCCAAAATAATATCACTAACAATTTCATACAGATCTGCTAAAAACTGTTCCCAACAGCTTTGACTTTCATTAATAGATAACGTACGAAACCAAATAAAATTTTACTGCATGCTTTCATTCAGTATCAGCTTGCAAATGTTCTTTTTTCTTTCCTCTTTCTCTTTTATGCTTTTATTTGAATCTATCCAGGAATTATTTGAAAGAACCGTCTTGTTCAACCTTTTAACACTTTTTTTGCTCTAATGAAGACCTTTCTTAATTCTAGTCATCGAGATGTGGACAGTGCAAAAGCAGGAGCATAAAACTACAGAATTGCACGTTTTCGTGCAAATGAGAATAATTTTTAGACAGTTATTGCTTGCAAGGAAAGTAAATATCAACTTGAAACACAGATTTCAGCTTAGATTTTACGCTTCGGCTTTGGCTGGCGTTTTGGTTGCTCCATCTTTGTTCTCGCTAGATGTCTCCATGACCTCTGGAATCACCTCTCCTTCTCCTTCTTTCTTTTCTTTCTTTGCTCCTTCATCCCCCTGACCGCTGTCTTCTCGTCTTCGCTTAAATCGACCACCTCGCGGGTATCGGCCGCGATATCGGGGTGCTGGTGGGGGAGGGTCGATTCCCAACACTTTGTGAAGTTGTCTGAATGCTTGCAATCGAAGTGCATGCTAAAAGTGGTCAAACAAACAAAGGTTGCTTAAAGAAAATAGGTTTTTAGTCCTTTTTCTGAACGAGTGCTTCGGATTTTTCGCCCCGAGACACAGAATCTGGAATCAGAGAAAATTTAAGCTCTGGAATACGGACTTCAGACACTAGGAATCCAGAGTTCGAATCAATGGAATCTTTTTCCCAAAAAAAAAAAAAAAAAACGGTGGGATCCGGAATCCTTTCTAAATGTAACAGAGAATCAGAAATTTTGAAGTTTAAAATGTTGGATACCATTAATGTAACGGCACTCCATGTCGTGTTGCGAGCTGAGAAAGATAAACTAATACAACAATCGTTTGAAAAACCTGGTCTGTCATTTCTCATCAATTACCTGTGCTGCAGCCGTCAAGTCTTCTGCTTCTTGAGCTGTGATTTCGGCGCAGGCATTAATTGCGTCTTTTTCACATGGATCACATAACCCTGAACCACCTAGAAAGGTAAAATATGTCACAGGGTACATCTAGAACTCATATACCAAGGACGTAATTAGAGGGTAATGCCCCCTCCGATGACGTCACGTAGACATTTATGTCACGTGACTCTATAGGCAGAATTTTGAATGAAAGGAGCCGCAACGATGAATTAAGCGTAACAAAGCTCATAACAAAATACTCCAATTTCGAGTTTTGGTTTGCTCTGTGTTAGCCTCAATACCAAGTAACATATTCTATTGTTTTATTGATAGCTCGAGAAAACGCATGGAATTTGAAAAGACAATTGAATTTTTTTTGAAATCTCGCACTTTTATTCTCTCAATTAAGAATATTTTGCGCATAAATGAGGCTAATACAGAGCATTGGAGAATTCGAAACTGGATTATTTAGGTAGAAATATTTGAGCTCATTGGAATAAAGCGTAAGAATAAAACAGAAAGCACCTGACATGAATCTACCTTGATCAATAGTGAGTGAGTGTTTCCATCAGGCTCATTAAATCAGATTGTTACCTCCACAGAAGGTCAGGATAAAAGAGTTCATCATATAGAAACACATCACTTGTTTACCTGGACAACCTTACTGGAATTACCCTATCGCATTATTACGTCACACCAAAACATTTGATTATTTTAACACTAAGGATTATGGTCGCCAGAGGGGATCAGAGTGACTTCATATCAAATAAAATGTAGATGAGCTATCATTGATAAATGATATACATCAAAACTCGATACACTAAAGTTCTACTTTCGGAAAGAATATTAATATGTCCAAATTTCGAGTCATTCTGAGCATCTATCTACAATGTAAACATACTGTGACGTCATTATGCCATAGGGCAATTGTTGTTATGCTAATCTTACCTTCCAGGAATAGTCCAGTGGAAATACACTCTAAGACTCGTCTGAAGGCCTCTCCTGGACCCAGTGGCTGTTCACTGCTACTAAGGGATTTCTCAACCAAGAGCTCCAACGCCTAAACAATAATATTCATCATTATTTGAAAAGGTCAATTATAACTAAATCCTACTCCAATGTTATACATTGGTGTTTCTAAAGAAATAGTTTTGATAAAATGCTCTTTTTTGTTTTGATTCCTTTTGTTTGCTGCTTTTGTTTTTGTTGTTGGTGATGCTGTTGCTTTGTTTTTTGTTTTTGTTTGTATTATTTTTATAATTACTATTATTATTATTTTGTTTTGTCTACCGGTAGTTGCTTTGGCAACTCCTCAGAATAAAGGTCATCAATCAGGATTTTTTTCATTGCTTAAGATTGAACAGTGATAGAGAATTGGAGCAAGTTGAACAGCATTGTCAGCAAGGTAATACCGAATAAGGACTAGGAATGTTCCCCGGACATCGTCATTGTTTTGCACAACTCAAGTGATATCAAATCAGCATCTTTCTGCTTCAATGTGTGGTGAACATGACCTAAACATGGCACAAAGATACGGTAGTTTAAAGGAAACATACCCATTCGCTGATAGGACTAAATACTGGCACTCTTTGACACATCTCACGCATAACGCGAATTATAACGACGCAGGATTGTAGACTGTTGGCCTTTGCCTGAAAAGTCAATGTATCAATAAGAACCAATTACGGTAGTAATAACGTGTTTAGCTCAATATACCAAATACTATTAACATGAAAATCACATGGACACATAAACAGAAAGAATAAAATGAACGTAAAGAACAAAACAATCTTTGGAATATTAGTATTTGGTGTATTAAACTTAATATTCATTGAAGCTGTTTAATTGAGAAACCAAGCTACAGAAAGTCATTTTGGAAAACGAATATTTCTTATCAACAACAAAAACGTGTGGAAAATCTTGGTTATCTCAGTTTGTCTCTACTATATTTTACTTATGTTAAACTTGCAAAACTTTTCAAAATCACCTAAAACTCAGTAGGAAGTCAAATTTCAAGTATTCCCCGGCATTAGAAATCCATGCAAAAAAAAAAAAAAAAAAATCAAAGGAAAATGCCAAAATGGCAGAAGATGATCAAAAAATTAGGAGAATACGAAGTTTCCAATTAATTGTATGTTGAAAAGTTTGCATTGTAGATTTAAGTTGTTCAATTAGGAAGTTGCGCCTTCTGCTCCAAGATAAAGAGGAATTGTCACATGATACCATGCATTTCTACGGACAATTTTCAAGAAAGGAAGTACATAAAATAAATAAAGTGAAACAAAGTGGTTTTCACTCAAATAAGACATGCTTGTGTTGGTGAAAACCTTGCTTAAAGAAGCCAATTTTTACACAAACAAAATTCAACTCCAGTTGTTATTGTGAGGACAAATGTAACTTGGTGAAATTGATGTGGGAGAATGAAATTTGAACTAAGAATATTCAGACGTGATTTCAACATACAAGTGGCAACATCCAAGGCCTAAAATTTGTCATGAAGAGGATTTATATTTTGCAAATTGCAATTATTTTTGTTAATGAGCATCTGAGCAGTTATTCAAAGTTCATTCTTCCTGCCAACTTGACAAGACAAATGTGACATTTCCTCTTAGAATAAACAGCAAACTGCGCGAACCTGGAACCATTTGGCATGTCGTAATGCAGCCAATGCATCAAGGCATTTTGGCCTGTCCAGTACATCAGGCTCATCTTCGGCTATATGGTAGAGAGATAGTTGGTTAGAGAAAGCGTCAAGACATGTCGCAAGCATCAACGCCTGGTCTACAGATAGGGGACAGCAATAGCCGAGCCCTAGTCCACTGACCAGTCACAGCGGCCTGCTAGTGTCTCTTAGCCTTCCCTCCCTTTAAGGCTTGCAAATCCATCTGTATAAATATATACCACTGAAGATACATAATGGACAGCATTTTGTTAAGGTGGCAGTTAACACAATGCTGCCATGGTAACTAACTGAAAGATCAACAATGCATTAGTCAGCATTTTGTTAACAATACATGAGAGGTTGAATTAACACAACGCTGACGATAGCACGGCCAGTCAGCATAGGCTGGAAATAAAAAATACGCAACTGTTTAATGCATGGGCATACACACAACGACACATGACGCACCCATGCATGTCTCTATTGCAGCATCTTTCTTTACTTCGAGTCTACACTTACGTTTTATCTTCCATGTCTTTCTCTTTGAATACAATTTTGTTGCAAACAACAAGCCAATTTCTTTTMAATTGCATAAAYTATTAACWCTAYATTGCTTGTGCTTATTATTGTAAGCTACTATGTGTTTATTACCAGGGGTGGGCTCCACTGAATCCCGCATTATTGGTGATGTCAAAGTCACTGTCACCACAACTGTTGGTTCAGTCAATGTGCTGATCTTCAATGCAGATTCTTCTGGGACCGTCTTGATGTCATATTTTTCTTCTGTTACTTTCTGTTGASGAATAACATAATGATGGTAATAAGTTATAAACTCAAGAAGAAAAAGCACTGTGTCATTATCAAAGTACTAGAATAATGACAACTTCTGTTGTCTGAAGAGACCTAATTGGCTAATGCACTGCCATGTACRTGGAAACCTTTATAGCAATGTGTCAGCATCTATTGATCATTCACAAGATTGTAATTCATTCCTTAGTATGAGCAAAACAGAAATGAAGCAGGKTGGTACAAGGGTGTGGTTCCAGGGGTTCAGAACCCCCTCTTTCTTGGCACACATAGTCTTTGAAATAGGGGGATTTATTCGTCAAATCAATATTGTAACATAATTCCAGATAGTCCAGGAGTTTGTTAAGTGCAACTTTGCAGTCAATCTCCTTCACAGTCTTGAAACCGCACAATAAAGAAAAATGTCACTCATACAATCATTTTATTGGATGATAAATGATAAWTACCCCAAGTTGCACTGGCAGAAGATCTGATACTCTCTTCAGTAAAGTCGAACTTGGTTTATCTAAAAGAAAAGACTCAAAGTTATCAAAATGCCATCATAAATTAACTTCAGCAACTACATGTATACATTGCAAAAACGGTTTCCTGATCCTTCTGTAGTATCTTACTGCCATTATAGTTGCTAGTTGGAAGGTCAAGTTCATAGGGGAGGGGGAAGCAAATTACTTTCCCAAGACATTTGCTTGCACTCTGTTAGCTTCAATGTTAGTAATGTTTCAGTTATTAMACCAGTGACAGGCAAATCAAGTTCACATCCACCATATAAAACTGACTCACTATAGGAAGATCCAAGGTCGAGTGGCTTACTAGTGTTAAAACCACCCAAAGCATCCAACTTCCAAGTATTCAATCATTACTAAACATTATTATTAAGTCAATCCCATTAATGTTGATCAAGACATATAGAAAACTTACAACAAAGTCATCTGCATTAAACAGTTTTTAGAATTCCCAGGAAGAATTTTATTAATTCTAAACTTTAGATTATAGTGAATTAATGTTATTGACATTGTACAGAATTTTTGGAACTTTATGTTGAATATTCTTGCAAAAATAAAATGTAAATTGGATATACATGTAGGCAAATTTGTTGCTGTATTTACAACTGAATAACGTTAATGAAAATGACTGTATGTTAACTTACTGTGGCAAAGGACTACCAAGTCAACGTCTAGCCTTCCTCGGAGTAGAAGACCCTTGGCAAGCACYCCAACACGCATGACACCCTTCAGTGCTCCTAAAAAAAACAGGTCCAATATGCAACTTGCTCAAATATATCTTGAGAACACAGAGAGTTTAAGAAACAAAACGGGAAGATTTGCAGTAATTTAAACCACAAAAAATTTATTGTCTGATGTCAAAATACAGTATGAATCAAATTTTACAGATACGTATGAATCAAACATGTAGTTTTTACTCAAAAAGGAAAAGGAAAAACACACAGTGCACATTAGAGCTTATCACAGACAGGAGTTTCATTAAAGCCGTACAATATATCAATCAAAAGGAGTCACAAGCATTGCTATCATAATTTTGAAAATGTAGCCAGTTCAAAGGTCAAAATTGATGCTGGATTTCACTAGTGGACTTCTAATGAAATCCCTGAACATGGACAAATAAACATTTTATATTCATGTTATTTTGTTATTTTCTTTGTTTACTTGGTGTTTGAGACTTGGATGCTTCTTTGTTTTCTGATTCAGCTTCGTCTTCAGTCTTCTCGGCAGATGTTGCTTCAGTGGCTTCAGGCTTCACTTCTGYTTCTTGCTCTTTCTTTGCAGCTGATTCATCCTTTTCAGCTTCCGTCGCTGAGCCCTCAACTTCCATTTGTGGATTGTCTTGATCAGAGATGACGTCAGACACTAACTTCAGAGCCTTCTCTGATGCCGATACGATGTTCTGTACAGCTTGCAATTCAGCTTCAGTTGGGTAGATTGCAGAGTGCTTGGCCATAACCATGTGGTCATCTGCAGTAGTGTATCGGGGTCGCATATGGGGCTGAAGTTAAAGTGATTGATGTTAAATACCAATACAACTGCATCCCTTTCTTTCTCTCTCTCTCTCTTGCAATATAACATTCATGACATATGACAATAATCCAGTTTTGAATTCTCCAATGATCTGTGTTAAACTCATTTGTGTGCAAACTATTCCCAATTGTGAGAATAAAAGTGTGAGATCTCAATTCAATTCTATTGTCTTTCTTTTCAAATTCCATACGTTTTTTTGGGTGGCTATCAATGAAACAAAAGAATATGTTGCTTGGTTTTGTGTCTAATGCAGAGCAAACCAGAACTCAAAATCAGAGTATTGTGTATGTTGATATGATATGATATGACAATCTTGTGTATATGATATAAATATTTACCATTCCGGGAGGTGCATCCATCAATCTCGGTGGCACAGCTCCTGATGCTGATCTGTCAGACCAGTCATGGAACTCTGCTTCATACCGACGTCTGTGTTCTTCTTCCCAGAACCTCTCTTCTTCCATCCTTCTCACATACTCTTCCTCCTCCCATCGTCTAGCAGCTTCCTCTTCATGCCATCTGGCATCTTCACGCCATCGCCACATCTGCTCCTGCTCCCATCTGTGCCGTAGTTTTTCTTCTTGGGATTTGCTTAGTCTTCTGTTGCTTGGCTTGGTCTCAACAACTAGATCTGGTTGGACTTTTTTCTACAAGAAACAGAATACAAAATTGCTTTATAATTTAGATTCTTGCATTGAGATCTACATAATTGTATTGTATATATTTTGTTCTTTGAAAACTAAAACTGTGTCGCGTCATTTTTTTCTGCTATCAATAGTTTTTATCTTATCAACCTCTGATATAATGTTTATTGTTATTTTATTCTTGACATACATGTATTGATTACCCCTCAAAGCCCCAGAAACATACTCCTTTCTTTATACAATTACTTGTGTAAGCTTTGGTCCCAATGTTTTTGGTAAGTAGGAGCCAAATTACAACGTTTTTGTACATTTTCCATGCTTTCATACACAAGAGTCTATTTATACAATACAAAAGGAATTCAAAAGAATAAATTTGACGTCAAGCGCGGAGAACACAAAACCTCGGGACTTATTAAAAGGGTGTATAGTAACTTAATTTGAGCCCGCTATAATTCAACTACCATCAAAATTGCTAAATTAACCCTATAATGATTTATTGAAATGGTATTCACTTTGAATTGCAGTCTGTGTCTACGTCCAGCCAAGTGAGCCTCTTTGGCATTAGGATCATTGAACTTGCACTCGCAAAGCTTGCAATGAAAACTGACAACTTTCCCTTCATCACTCTTGATTTCTTCAAGGTAATCAGCACCTAAAGAGATCAACAATCCTATCATTATAAAATATGTATTTCTCTTAAAAAGTTCAAGTTTATTACATCTGATCAAGGTAATAAGCACCTAAAGAGATTAACAAGACTGAGTTTTGAATCCTATCATTATAAAATATGTATTTCTCTTAAAAAGTTCAAGTTTATTACATCTGATCAAGGTAATCAGCACCTAAAGAGATCAACAAGACTGAGTTTTGAATCCTATCATTATAAAATATTTATTTCTCTTAAAAAGTATAAGTTCATTACATCTGATCAACCAAATTTCAAAAGTCCATGAAATAAAATGAAAATATTATTTTATTGTTGTGTAATCACTGTACTGAAAAAAGTAACAAAAAATTCTATCTGTTTTCTGCAATATTATCCAAAAATACTATTTCACAAATAGACAGATAAAACTGATGAATAAAAGCACTTCAATAAATYTATAGACTAAAAATATTTTAAATTGAATACAAGGTAATAATGTGTTATATATTTTTTGGTTTGTAAAGMTGAACAAAACCTACCAACAATTTTTGACTTGTCTACACCAGTGAATGTTGCCAAATCGAATTTTTCTGAAAGAAAGAGAAACAAAAGTTCTAGTAATAATTTCTTCATGTATGAAATACGTTCACTCAAAAATTTATTCCTGTATCATACCTTCAGCGTCTCCTCCAGTTTCCATGCTTTCATCCTCTTTAGCTGCCTGTCCTTGCTGCTGGGTCTGTACAGTTGCTGACCCATCTCCTGTAGAATCACTCTTGACTATGCCAGTTGTAGTCAACTTTGTTCCCCCAACAAATGTGATCTTGGGAGCTGCTCCTCTCTTAGCTCCTGGTTTTCGGTTGTGGTTTCTGTTACCACCAGTGGACTTGTTCTTATCTTCACCTTCTTTTGACTCTGGTACCTTGATTGGCTGGATTTCTGGGATTGGTCGTCCCATCTTGACGTGTAAGTTGACAACCTGATACGAGTGGAATGAGCATTTCATAAACATTAAATATCCCAGCTTTATACGGTTTTTGGAGTGAAAAAATGTGCTTAACAATTCATTTACTTCGACAGTAGCTGTTAATTTGCCTGTCTCTCTGTGGATTGTGCTGTTAAAAAGTATTACATCCCTGTCTATAAAGTGTGAATTCCCCAGCCCTTCCCTTGTCGGTTTGTGGGATTTTCAATTCACTACCATTACTTACTAAATACTGGTAATGTTGACTCACATCACAGAAAACACAAACTACATTTTTTTTAAAACATTACAATGTAGAGGTTTACAACATGTTTTGTTGACCTTAGGCCCATTTCAGATGTCAATCTTTTGCCGTATCTAATCTAATAGCTTGCATGTAGTTCATGAGAAGTTTGCAGTCTACATTGATTGATATATATACGGATTATAATAAGTTTGTCCAACTGAACAAAATCTGCCAATGTCAATGAATTCAGAGTAGGAAATGTTCATAAACTCAACTCCAGCAATAGATTAGACGTGRCAATAGATTAACGTCTGAAAACAGGCCTTAGTAGCTATAAGAGCAGTTTCTTCAATACTTACAAAAATATTTACCTACATTTACTTATTTGTAATTAACAATGATCCCCACCTTTTGATGTTTAGCACCTTTCAAATGAGCAGCATAAGCGTCAGCCCCAGTGCAAGTGATATTACACAGTTCACACTGATAACAATTACTGTTGTTAGAAGAAACATCTGGCTTAGCTTTGGAGGCTGCCTCCTTCTTCTTGTGCTTTTGTCCTTCAAGATGTTCCTTGTATGTCTATGAAAGCAATGTTGATCTAATGCTATCAAATCATGAGCAATGGCTCATAAAGAGAGAGGTTTAACTGGTTAAATCCTTGGGTGAATGGATGTTGTTKCTTTACTTTTTAGTTAAAGATGCTTTGACTTRTCAAACTCCAGTCAAAACAGYCATGTTTTCCCGTCCATCTGCAGCTATATATATATATACACACGCTCTGATTGGCTGATGACTGTGTTTATATCAGAGGACAGAGACACGGCTTACCAGCAAAATTTTCTTTTCGCTCGAAAAATTTTATAAAAGAAATATAAAACGGCTGCTTGTGTCTCTGTCCTTTGATATAAACACRGTGGGAKTTGAAAAACAATCGAGAAGCAAGAGAAAAAATCGCTACGCTCGYGTTCCTAAGCTTCCTTCTCTCATGTTTTTCGAACTCCCACCGTGTTTACATCAGAGGACAGAGACACACGCATTGTTTTATATTTCTTAATTTTTTCATTCATATTTTACATTTTGTGTTTCTCCTCTGAAAATAGGTTGCAAAAAGAAAAATGTTTGACTTCAAATCCTGTCCATTGTTCATCTATAATAATTGATACTTGAAAAATGGCAATATATACAGCTAGGTAAAGCTTTTACAGAAAGAAACTATGAAAAAGCAGCATGACAACATTTTTTTGAAATTAAAGAGTAATAGATAAAACTATTTCTTATTAAAGTTATAAATATATGATAACTTAAAACAAAAACTATTGAATAAAATATTACTGACCTGAGGACCAGCACAACTAATTTTACAAATATCACAATAGTGTATCTGTGGCTGTTTAGGTGGTGCTTTGGGTTTTTGCTGTTTGTTTGAGCCCATTCCTCCCATACCGCCACCTTTGTTTTTCCAGTTAGACCTTGGTGCTTGATGCTGTTGTTGTTGCTGGACGTAAGCAGCCGCGGCATTGTAAACAGCCGCCTCGTAAGCCTGTGGATGGTAGCTTTCGCCTCCAGCAGTATTAGAACTACCGTAGTTWGAAGTAGAGTATGAGCCTTGATTGTTGTAGTTTGAATGAGAGCGTCCTGTGGAGTAGGGATAAGCGACGGTCGAGCTCGACGTGTAAGCTTGAACAGGATGAGATTTGGCTGCTACTCTAGTAGCGCTGACAGGAGTGGGATAAGCCGAAGCGGCAGAAGCTTGGTAAGCACCTTTCGCTGTTGCTGTTGCTCCTTGAGCGTAGTAACCTCCTTGGCTTACTTGAACGCTTGAAGCCGGTTGTTGGGAATAATAGGTGGCTTTGTTGTCGTAAGCGTCTCTTTCGTAATAAGTTTGAGATGCCGGGTGAGCTTGATAGCCAGCATGCGAGGCTGCCTGATAAGCTGTATTAGTTGGYGGTGGCGGTGGTGGAGCGTCTTGTTGCCTTGCTGTGTATCCATACGCACTTCCTTGAGTAGGAGCAGTTTGAGCGTAWGCGCTAGTGGCGGCTGAATAGGCAGCTGGTTGAACAACTTGTCGTGGAGTCTGTGTTTGTGGTGGSCCATAATGGGCAGCCGTTGGCGCTGTACCTTGAACAGCGTAGCCAGTACTTGCCTGAGGTGCTGTRTAAGTTGTCTGAATCGGCGGATTTTGAACTTGAGTAAATCCTTGAGAGTGTTGGGCTCCCGAAGTGTAGCCAGCGTAATAGTTACTCGCCGCCATCTTGAAAACGAAAGGGAAGGCACGTGGTGGAGTGTCATGACGTCACCCTAGGAGCATCATGGGAAGGATATGGCCTCGTTTGCATGAATCTATTCATTGCACAGGAAGCCCAACGTGATAGCAMTTACAGTGAGGTGACCCKTCTGTAATGAAAGGCCTTGGCAACAAATGTTATTAAATTGTTGCTGCTCCAATTAAAGCACCTGGTTTTCAGTTGTGGTTTCTGYTACAGTAGACTTTGTCTTATCTYCACCTTAATATACAGGGGCTGGATTTCCGGGATTTGTTAACCCCTCTGGCTAAAGTTCTGATAACCTCTTATTAGTGAACGCATTTAATCCGTGAAATTTGTAAAAAATCAAAATACCATAAAACTAAATTGCAACTGAAAAGGAACATCCTTTGAATTACCATTGTTCATTGAATCTATTACTAAATTGCACAAAATAGTACAAAGAGCCTAGTTAAACTTCACGGATTAAGTGCGTTCTATATCAAATATTTGCGGGATCCTCGTCCGAAATTCTGAAAGTGAACCTTCGTAGATCGCGAGATGGGGTGTGGCCGTGATGAAATAGAGAGCATTTCGTATGACTGTGCAAAAAACAGTTGCTTCGCGCTGTGGCCGTGATGAAATAGAGAGCATTTCGTATGACAGTGCAAAAACACCGTACCGTACCGTGCCGTAGCGGTGATGTATTGTTAAATCTTTAATTTTATTTGGAATCCAAGAAGACGAGGTTCCGTGACCGTGCCGTGCCGTGTCCGTGTTGTGATCCGTGCCCATTGCACAGTCATACGAAATCCAATCCGCTCTATAACAGCTCAAGAGAGATTAACCGCGATGCCCGTCATTTTGGTTTGTTTGTCTGCTTGTAGGAGTTTATGATCTTGTACCGCCAGTCTTAGGGACGTCTCACCGTATAAGGGACTTTCCTATGCSAGATCAAAACACTGAAACCCTAAAAAAGGCGCGGCAAAAACCGCCCAATTTATAAGGGAGCCCCTAAAAAGGAATCCCCACTTCCCAGGACATACAGGAAAAAATACACTAACAGGAGACAGGATAAAATACACCACAGAAGTAAATACAAGTTTTTTCTTTAAAATTAAGTTTATGTTTTTTTAATAGCTACAAGTATAGTATAATATAATGAATACAGTTGGAAAGACCAGCTTTCCGTTAACACTAAATATAAAAAACACRTAGTATAACTACTCTCTTATGCCTGTAACAGAGATCATTAAGACTGGGTACCAGGGGCAGATTGAGAAGTCTTTTAGTAGATGAAGTGGGTTCCATTTCTCTACTCCATGGTCATAATAAGGTAGATATATAGAGGATATTACATGGGCGTGCGGAGATACGGATTTTATTTTCGAGTGTTGAAAAAATCTCTCACGAGTGAGCGTACCGAACGAGAGAGAGATTTTCAACATGAGACTAGAGATAAATTTCGTATCTCCAAGCGACCATGTAATTTTCTGTTTATCATATAATTAAATATGAAAGTAAATTATGTCGTAAAATATGTTTTTTATACTTTCACTATATAGAGAAACGTCGAACTATAGATAGTAATCAATTAAAAAACAAATGCAGTCTTGGTCCGCCGTGAACGAGTAAGAGTGTTGGTATGGTACCCAATGCCTACATGGACATCCCACCGGTTCTGCCCCTGCCAGCAGTCAACATTGCAATTTAAGATTTTAAAATATATAGTTTAATTACAGATGTGACGTCTTTATGAAGTATCAAAGGACATCAAGACTTCAGCAAGAAAGCGCTTTAGTATATGAGCATATATTTAAAAAAAACTAAATTTCCCAACTTCTCCTTTTGCAGGAGAGTTTTTGGGTGGRAAGAAAGCTGTATGCAGTCTATGGAGAAAGAACAGATGCAGTAGAAAACACTATAGCCTGATCAGTAATAATTGGAAGCCCGTTTGCCACACCTTTTATCTACAACGTCCATTTGATCAATATGATTTCCCGTCCTAAAATAATTTAAAAGSATTATAACACGGTAAACTTTACATTTTTCTATTTCAACAAGGAGGTTGTGTCATTGCACTGAAGCGAGAAAGATGTTCAAATAGAGTGAACGCATTTTTAAAATCCGTGAAATTGTACAAAGTCAAAATACCACAAATTTGTTATTAAAACTGCAACTGAAGCAAAAAAAAAATCCTTTTGATTCACCATTGTTCCTAATGAACCTATTTACTAAATAGCACAAAATAGTTACATGTACAGAGGCTAGTAAAATTTCACGGATTAAGTACATTTATTAATCACACTGATATGAATTCAATYAATGTGCAGGTTAAACTGCAAGAGACATCATATTAATCTTTAGAAAGTTGTAGACAAAAGMTTATGAAAAGCTTTGATTGAATGACTACATAGAGAAGAAAAGAGAGAGAGGCATTTGAGAAAGCAACAATGACAGTGAAAGAAATTTACCCGAATTCAAATTCACTGTTTTCTCGTATTTTATCAAATTTTTCCAGCGAAAATCTAGTCAGTTTCTTTCACAGCCAACGGAAAATCACTTGAGTATGAATTCAGACAAAYAAAACACATACAATTATCATTATGGACATGCAATTATAAATCACAGTTAAAGATTAGTTTATAGTATTGTTTTTATTTAACGACAATTATCGTAAATGTTTATATATTTTCAATTCTATATTATTGTATTTTTGTTTACAAAAACAATTAAATAAATATACATTGCAGTTCACTAGCTATCATCGTGTCTATCGAGAAAAATACGTCATGGGAGGTATCACATACACTAAAGTGTCACACAACTAAATTTTATGACGGCCATCTTAAATTTTATCGTTCCTAAAAGAAAGTTCATGATATTGAGGTCCGGCAAGAATATCTTGAAGAAATAATGGAATTGTAGATGAATAATATCATCAAATAAAGTAATATCATCATTAAAAACTATTTTCCCTTTTGAGGTTCTCAGATTCAAGATGGCAGACATAATGAAAACTGACCTTTTAAATGCAATGGATCTTAAATGAGTGAAATGGAATGACTAACAATGCACTTCGGTCTTGGAACTACACTATCCTCTATCATTGCTCAGTATTCAACCTTTTTTCAAATAGCTGCATATGTCAGAACTTAGCATGCGTAGCGGCTCTAGGGGAGGGGGGGGGGGG